TTGTTGATGTCATTCAACACATCAGCGCCGTCGGGCGCTCAGTTAATATCGCGAATGGAGATATGAACATATTATTTGGTACTTTTCTACACCCCCTGCTCGCTCCACTCCCCAAACCTCATATGACCCACATATGACCCCTATCATCCTTATTCTGACCTTTAATCTTACCCTTATGACCCTTATTCCAAACCTCATGTCCATTGCGTTGACCCTTACGACCCTTATTTTGACCCGTGTGACCCTTAATTGTGGAGTCTTAATTTCGAGACTAAATTGTTATCCCCAAAAGCCGATTTGGATTTTTATAATATAGAAAGATATAATCAATAAGGAATAACAGCAACATATGAACATATTACAGAGGTAGAGATGATAATTAATTCGCAATGGCATCATGAGGGTCACAGATAAGGGTCAGAATCAGGTGCATCTCCTGAATTTTTAATCCTCCTTATTTTTTAATTACATAGAAAGAAATCAATTATTCAAAGGTGTTCTTATGCTAGTTATTGTTCTCATTTGAACTCACCCTGGGTTTCTCGTACAGACTTTATCGGCGTGTTTCGTCTCACCTCTGGCATAACACGAACAAAACGGAGATGAACGCCCGGATAACAGTAAAAGGGCTGGGTTCTCTTAACCACTCGACTGCAGACAGAATTCACTTCATTTCACGTTATTTTATGAGCTCCATTTATCGTTCAGTTGTACCTATTCGGTAATGTTTGTTTGGGCTAGCTCTTTTAGAAAGCGTTTAGTTCTATTGTAACCGTAGCGTCAGTGTTGCATACTATCATCAGAGATTCCTCCTCTTCTCCCTCTTATCCTTCGCGTCATTCGAATCACGATCGACACTCTCAATATCTTTTTTCTGTTCCTTTGTTCTTTTTGTCTTCTCGCCGCATGCGGCAGCCGCACCCGGCATATCCTCCACCTTCATAATCATCGTCCTCGTCGCCGAAAAGCCTCGGCTGACCTCGTTTCCTACTCGCAATAGATACTCGGCATTCTCGTTAGGGCAATCCCAAGTTGCTCAATTTTTTTCGACTCGAAGATGAGGTGAGCCCATCACGTTCTTCGCATTCTGACATTAATGATATTTTTTAAACATTTTAACGAACTCAGATCGACGTTCTGGTCACGCCTAATGACTTCCTTGATGGAAATATACTGAACTTCAGGTGAGATTCGTTCTCGTGATTCGTGGGGATTCACATTGGGAGATTTATGCTGTCGAGACATTCACAATTTTTGTAACATTAGGCTTTGCACGTTTAAAAAAATCGTATAAAAATTTTCTATACGGATTGCGTATAGAATTTCTGTAGGATTTTCGTAACGAAAATCCTATAGAAATTCTATACACAAAAAATTCTGTTTGTTTCTTTTTTTTTATTCAACATCAAAACCTATCGATTTATACAGCTATATACATAAAAAAAAGACAGTATACAAAAATATACAAGAAGAAAGAAAGTTCGTTACGTGATTGAATTACATTGGTAATTTTTCAGTACATATAGGCAATCTTAGATATTTATTTTTGATACAATCAAAAATTATGTTATGATCTCAATGCATTTTTTGTTTAAATTTTTTAGAACAGTTTTGGTTTGATATGGGGGTGCAAAACCATTTGACAATACGGTCGGGTATAGGATTTGCCTATGTTGCTCGGGACAGTGTTTCATTGACAGTGAAAAACAATAGAATGGGAAAATAGGGTATTTCACGTATTATTTAAATGGAAAACTTTCCACCCATTTAGGCACCGCTTCCAATTAAGATAGAGCATTGAATTTGCGCTTAAACTTTATATGTATTTACCGAAAATTATCGTAGGGGGTACATCAATTAATATCTGAGGTGGGATGTTCTTACAGACGCCCTATTCGATACTATCCCGTGAGGGACTTTTCTGGCGAATATAAGGTTACAGGATGAGCTGAAGGCGAGTTTTGTAATTACACGGAGAGAAATATTCAATAAAAATTACCAGAAAAAAGACGTAAAAATTACGTTTCGAAAGGTAATCTGGGGGCGAAGTAAAATTCAATAAAAAGTGTCAATCGTCACATAAATTCTACGATCTGTTCCGTAAAAATTACTCATCCGTCCGAGGCCTCACGGCTAGCCATGAGTCACCGTGAGGGAGAGATTTTAACCACACGTTTCGTAATTTTTCCGGAACTTTTCGTAAAAATTCTTAAACATCCAAGAATTTTCATGCTCTCAGGCATAATAAGTCTTGAAGTTTCGGTTAGATTTTACAACTTCCAGAAAAATTACGTGACTTTTTCGTATTTTTTCGGTGACAGACCCGAAAATTTACTGAACGTTTCAGATTTATTCTCTTATATTCCTATAGAAATTCACTGAAAACGATTCTCGCTTGCGGATTACGTGAAATGTTCCATAATTTTTCTTGAATATTTCTCTCCGTGTATATGAGTTAGAAGAGTTGTTCACGGCAGTTTATCGAACAATACTTTTTGTTATCGGGCCTAGTGACGAAAATGTCCAAAAACAATTCTATTTTCCGCAACTGAAAACCAAACAACAACAACGACAACAATAATAATATAATAATAATAATAATAACAATAATAATAATAATAATAATAATAATAATAAGCTTTTAAATACCTCTTGGTACTTAAAAATCAATCGAGTATTTCGTTCCACCTTTCTGCATAAAACTAACAATGTCAAGTGCCGCAGGTTCCGCGCGGCAGAAGCCTGAGCGTTTTGGATTCAGCGAAATTCCCGAGAAATATTGGATGATATGGAAGCTCTTATAAGGATATTACTACTGATAATGCTATTCTGTTTTGAAGATTTTTTTATTGAAAATGGCGCAACTCCATTGCTCAGTTTCTACGTGAAAAATTGCATGAAATTAAAAGTAATAGATTTTTATTTTTATTTCAAACTTCCTTTTCCTAGAATATTTATGTGATTTTTCTATGATTGGTGTTATTGTTAACCAGATGACTCTGTATTTCTTCAATACTACATATGTACACAGCTCTGTAGCCCATACGGCATTATTATACCAGTGTCGTGTTCTTTTAATTTAATTTACTTTATTTTAGTTGTTATGGGGTTGGGAGGCGAACAAAATGTAAAAATCCGAAAGGGTATACATACAGACAATAAAAATTCGAAATTTTTTTATTTTTTCGGCCAAATTATTCTGTTCCTCAGCATTATTTCTTGATCGGCTAGAAAATGGAGAAAATTTGTTTTTATTCATTTCCGTCGATGGAAACTTGAAATCGATGTTTTTTCTTCGAATATGGGCGGGATATGATTATTTTCGAATTTTATGATCTAATTTTAACGAGAAGAAATGAAAAAAAAAGTGAAACAACGTAGGCGGGAAGAAATAAAAAAAATTTTTTCAACGTTTTTAGAAAGTTTTAAAATGGATAAATTTCTTTGAATAAACGGAAGAATCCCCATAAATTCGATTTCTTTCCTTGCCCTTTGATAGAATGAATAGAATTACATAAATGGCAATGGATTGCAAAAATCGTGAATTGGAGATTGAAAAATTTTTCAAAAGAGACGATGATCGGCTAGAAAATGGAGGAAATTGGTTGTTCCACATTTCCGTCGATGGAAACTTGGAATCACTGTTTTTTCTTCGAATATGGGCGGGATATGAGTATTTTCAAATGTTATGATTTAATTTTAACGGGAAGACATGAAAAAAAACGCAACAAACATAGGCGGGAAGAAATTAAAAAAATTAATTTTTCCATGTCTCCGGAGAGTTTTAAAATCTATATATTTGTCGAATAATGGAAGAATACCCATAAATTCGATTCCTCCCCTTGTCTTTTGATAGAATGAATAGAATTACATAAATGGCAATGAATTGCAAAAATCGTGAATTGGAGATTGAAAATTTTTTTAAAAGAGACGATGATCGGCTAGAAAATAGAGGAAATTGGTTGTTCCACATTTCCGTCGATGGAAACTTGGAATCACTGTTTTTTCTTCGAATATGGGCGGGATATGAGTATTTTCAAATGTTATGATCTAATTTTAACGAGAAGAGATGAAAAAACTGCAAAAAAACGTAAGCGGCAAGGAATAAGAACAATAAATTTTTCCATGTCTTCGGAAATTTTTAAAATCGATTTCCATCCATAAATTCGATTTCTGTCCTTATCTTTTGATAGAATGAACAGAATAAATGACCGCAATTGAGCATTGGAGACTAATAATTAGATCTTATTACTATAATGAATGAATGAATCCTTAAATCGGTTTCTACCAGAGCTCTCCCAACTTCACCATGACGAAATCGTACACACATCTCCTTCAACAATCCCTCAACTACCACGAAATGCAATATGAGGACGAACACGTATGAATCAATTGGCAATCCCATCGAAATATCACTCTCGGTATCTCAAAGAAATTACGCAAAAATTAAGAAAATCCGCCATCAGCATTCCGTCTGAAAGAGTTTCAATTAAAAATTCCCTGCGTACGCACCCGTGTACCACTAATTGATGCGAGCAAGACTCCAACTTGATATTCATCGATGTTTGGAGTGCGAAGATGTACCACGGTAGTTAACTTTCATGTGACCCGATTGGTCCGACCTTCATGAGGCCCCACGAAGTGTACCCGGACGATCTGTATCATCCGTCGGGTGAGACTGACGCAATCATTTCGCTCCAGTACAATCATCTCCTTCTAACACCGCAGCTCATCTCACTTTAACACTGAATTTTTCCATATCATCTCTTTCTCTCTTAAATTTTTCTCTAGTCTCGGTAATGCGAGGTATCCCAAACAAGGTGAGCACTAGTCGTTATAGACAGTGCTCTGGTAACTCTTCTTCATTCCATCGGGGGGTATGCACTGGACTTATGCGATCACTTTTTGAATGGGTGGGAGGAAGACGATACTCAACCCGTTGTCTGGGTATATAAGATCCGCTTCATCCCGATAGATTCACAATTACGATCAAACTTGGGTTCTCCAAGTCTAAAAGAGTCTTACTCCTCGAGAAATATCTTATTTAGTCACAAAGAACAGCATAAAGAGGAGCCGAAGAGGGGAAGGATCAAGAGGAAAGCCGTTCGTAGAGAATAGTTAGAAAAGAGCAATTGCGATCATCATGACAACGGTAATAACTCAATTTTATTAGTAGTCGATTAGAGCTGCTATCAGTGTACTTATCACCATTATGAAATCAGGGTAATTTCATTGAGTTAACTGGGGAGAAGTCAGTGAAGGGACTGGGAATTCAATAACAAAGAGGTGAAACATTAAAAAAAAAAAAAACTAGCGAATTCGCTAGAAAATTCAATTGGAATTCTTTTTGGAAATTTCTATTTGTTTTTTGCGCTGATCCTATTGAATATTCGATAAAAAAAGTTTATCGATTTCGAATTTGTGTTTGAATTTTTCTCTTGAGATTTTTTCTATAACAATGCTTGGGCATCAATTTTCTATGTTTTTCCGCACATTGTGATGAAAAATATCGTTCGATACTCGTGGGAAAAGTGTTTTTTGGCTCGTGGGAGGTTAATAGCACGAGCCGAAGGCGAGTATCTGGGAGACCCGGGTTCGATTCCCGGCTGGGTGAAGCGGAAATTTTTTCGCTCTAAATTCTAATTCTCTTAGAATTTTAGGCGAGTTTTGAGTGTCACTTTTCCGCACTCGTAACGAAATATACTATTTTCTGCTCGGATTTGGTAATGCAAAACAAAACAAAATCCGCGGAAAATTTTTAGAGAAATTGTGGCCAATAATTCTAGTAAACAAAATCAGAGATTCAAAACAGAAATTCAAAGTATATGGACTTTTTCCTATCAAATATGCAATAGAATCAGCGCGAAAATCAAGTAGAATTTTTCAATAGAATTCCAATAGAAATCCTATAGAAACCCCATAGAATTCCAATAGAATTTTATAGCGACTTCGCTGGGTTTTCTACTGAATTTTTTCATGCGTGCAATTTTAGATCGCGTAATTTTTTTGAAATATCTTGAATCTAGGAGTGATAATTACATTTTTGTGAAGTTTTTATTTTTCTTTACAAAAAAATGTGCAGGGGTAGTCAAATATTAATTTTCATCACACTATCCATTAAAAGTAGTTTTCCGGGACTTCGTATTCGTCAAACGCCGTTTACGGACAGTGTTAAGAAATGGTATATTTCGATACGAGTGAGACGGATTTTTTTACGAGCCTGAAACACACGAGCTGAAAATTCCCGTCTCACACGGATCGAACAATATTTTTTGACAGTGATATTACGTTAAACGAGTGACCGAACTGCACCTTTTTCGTTTAAAAGTAATCGAAAAGTCGTTTCGTTTATGAGCAAACGAAAAGGCACTTTTCGGCACGAGCTGAACGTAGCAGCAGTGTCAAAATAGCTATTTTTGTCACAAGGTCAAACCGAGGGATACAATCACACGAGTTAGAAAAGTTGTTTTCGGCCGACTGACGAACATCATTTTTCGTAAATTAGTCGTAAAAAGACGTTTTACGGACAGTGTGATGAAAAATGTTTATTGACGGACAATGCTACGTGCAGTAAGTGGCCGAACTGTGTCTTTTTCGTTTACAAGTAAACGAAAAGACTTTTTGTTTACTTTTCATTAACGAGTAAATGAAAAGGCACTTTTTGGCACCACGTGAGCGTAGCAGCAGTGTCAAAATTAGTATATTTCGTTACGAGTGTGGCAAAGTGTTTTTTGACTCGTGGGGGGTTTATAGCACGGGCGGAAGGCGAGTGATATGATCCCACGTGCCCAAAAATCGTTTTCCCATGAGTATCGAACGATGTGTTTCAGCACAATGTGTGGAAAAGGGACGTAAAAAGTTACTTTTTCGTACAGTATGATGAAAAATTATGTTCAAGAGCATTAAAATATTGAATTTGAATTCCAAGATATCTAAATGTATTTCAAACGCTCCGTTAATTTTGCGATAATCGTGAGAAATTTGTACTTGTGACAGGTAGTCATTAGTCACCGTAAGTAAACAATCATTTCTCATTTAATTAAGAGGTACGTGGTAATGCTGTTGGCGGTAATTGGTACTTGCTACACGGCACGCCTTGATAATACGTACTTACCCCCGGGAAGGGCAGCGGGAGCCGGTGGAGCTGGATTGATTCCAGGGCCGAGGCCCAGTCCAGGTGGTGGTATTCCAGGCAGACAACCCGGAGGTGGAGGCTTCGGAGGTACTTACCTGTCCATTACTTCATTTGTTTGTTCTATCTTTAATTAGATCACATCTGAAGACAATTAATGGTCTCTGTTGTAACGCTGTTACGTCTGCGGAAGAGGGCCACAATTTACATTTCTCCTTTGTAAGTTGGATTTAATTGAATCCAGGTCCAGGAGTCGGTCGTCCTGGCGCAGGTGGACAGCCTGGCGGTGGTGGCGGTCCTGGTGGACCACAAATACCCATTGTTTCGTACTCGAATGAGAACAATGGCGATGGCAACTATGTGTACAGCTATGAAACAGGAAATGGAATAAGTGTGCAAGAAACGGGCCAGGCACAAGGCGAGTGAATTGTTCATCCGTTACCTCCCATTTCAATGTTTATTACTGGGGATTTTTATTTCAATAAGCATACCACGGATGAAAAAAATTCATAGAAAAACCTAGCGAATTCGCTAGACAATGGGGTTTCCATTGGATTTCCATTGAATTTTCTTTTAGTTTTTGGCTGATTTTATTGATATGTTCCATACAAAATATTTTATGGGAACAGTCAATAGAATTCGATTTTTCTATACAACTTATCCTATTGAGATATTTTCTATAGAAATTCCGTGGCTCAAATTTTCCACGTTTTTTTCGTATCATTTTTTTGATGAAAATAAAATAAAAATTGATGATAGATTCACAAAAAAATCGGCGATATGTCCCGGGAAATCAGTGACATCACTGTTAGAAAAAAATTGAAATTTCGTGGACTGTCGAGTGGTAATTTTCAGGAGAGCGACAGTGAATGCGATTTCTGGGGAAAAAATAATGAAATTTCAGGTTTAATACCCAGTGCCAAATTACACTGAATTTACAGCAACGAAAATGCTTGAAATTTCGGTGGAACTAAAATGTGACAATAATTTCTAAAAAACGAACCGTAACTTTTATGATTAATCTATGTCTACTCTATGATTAATAGAATATATTTTCTAGAAAAAAATCAAAAGATTTAAAGTAGATATTTTCGATAAAAAGGTCCCGGCTTAAATCATTTAAGATTTTTTTTGATAGAATGGACTGAAGAGTAACAGAATTTTTGAATAGAATTTTGCCGTGAACGCGTCGTTTTCCTATGAATTTTAAAACAAATTTTTTATATTTAAAATTCAAAACCTATTTATATTTAAATATATAAAAAGGTTTTTCTATGGGTATGCTTACGAGTAGAGAAATGGTCAACTATCGAAGGGTGACAGGAATTGTTACATGAATTTTCTAAAATGCAAAACTTTTTCTAATTTTTTTTTCATGCAGGAGACAATGAAGCTGTCAGTGGTTCCTACTCGTACACTGGGCCCGATGGCCAACAGTACACGATTACCTACACCGCTGATGCCGACGGTTTCCATGCTCAAGGGGCCCACATCCCAACACCACCACCAATTCCTCCAGAGATTCAGAGGGGAGTTGAACTTTCGCTCGCTGCCGAGGCGAGAGGGGAGAATCAGGACGGAGGGGCGGGACAGAGGGGCCGTGGGGGTGGATTTGGCGGAGGTAATTAGGGAATCTCTGTCTTCAGTTTAACTCTCAATGAATTAATTGCTCTTCATTTGAATTTTATTCATTTCCCTTTCTATTTTTCTTTTCGTTAATTTTCTAGTCGTTTTTTCGAGTGTTGTTTATTATGGATTTTCTTGACCATTTATTGTGGTTTAGTAAACATTGAATAATTAATGGCAATAATAATGACATATTTAACAACTCTTGGACAAATATTCCAAATTTTTGAATTCACGATTTTCAGTTTCATTTTACGGAGGGAAATTTTCTAGAAAAATTCTAGTACGAGTACTAGAAAAAATCACAATCCACCGGCTGTGAAAAATTCTAGTGCTGTTAAGACAAAATTTCTTTGTATTTCTGGTAAAATTTCTGGGGATTTCTGTGAAATTTTCACACAAATACGGGGAAAAATTCACGGTTTCTCGAATAAAATTTCTAGTGCCGGCACTGAAATTTTTTCCTGGTCGTCACTTTGCGCCTCTTTTCCCGTGCTAGCACTAGAATTTTTCTAAAAAATTTCTCTCCGTGTTGAACTCTAAAAATCACGAACTGAAGAGTCTGCTTCATCAATAAGTATTAAAAATTCATTCATCAAAAGAGAATTTCAAATAACGGGAGAATTTGGGAGGGGCCGTGGGGGTGGATTTGGCGGAGGTACACTGAGAAAAAAAATTTCTAAGAAATAGAAATTCTATGATTGATCCAAATCGTTCATCGATTGAATAGTCGCAAAAGAAAATGCTATTGTAAGACACTAATATCGATTTGAACTAAACCAAAATTGGCTTGTATGAAATCGATTTTGTTATAGTATAGTATATTTTGTTTATTCTATCGAATTTAGAAAATACATGTTTTTGGGACAAAATCGATTTCATACAATTCAATTTTAGTTTAGTTCAAACGCTTCGGATTTGGCGCAAATAATTTTTTTTTCACAATTGCAATGGAAAAATAATCAGTTCAAATGATGAAGAATTGCGTTTGTCGTAAACAAGAAACTGCTCACCGCGAAAGTCTCGCATCAATGAGTATCCAACAATATGAATATTTTATTGCATCTATGAATTCTGCTTTCAATCGAACAGATATTCTTTTGCGGGATATCGTGGCGATGATGCGGAATATGATGAGAATATGATGCGGATCGCATCTATCACTGAGCTACAGCATATAGTTTGTGAGATCTTATTTTTTTTTCATTTTTTTCATGATAAACTGGAAAAATTAACAGTCGTATCAATGAAATCATGGCTCAAAAAGATTGTTTTGATGCTTTCTCGATGAAGTGCAAAGATGATGAAAACAGCATCACTATTTATTAAGTTGCATAGTAGCAATATGAAGCTTTAGGTCATATGGAGGTCATATATGAATTATATGGGGTAATATAAAAGTTGTACGGGGTCATATGGGGGTTATATGAGGTCATATGTGGCAATATGAGGGTCATATAGGCTCATAAGAGTCATATGGGTGTCACTATTCAAAACAATAAAAAATAAGAGTAATAAATTTCAAAAATAGAGACAAATTAGCAACATAAACTATACTCATATACAGAAAATGCGATTATCCACTTGTTTTTTTTTTTGCAGGACAAGGAGGTAGAGTTGGTGGTGGTAGTGGTGGTGGTTCTCTTTACCAGGGGCCGAATTCCTATCAAACGAGTGGTAATGCTGGCTATCAATACTAAGCCAGGTGTACCTCAGTCATTGACATTTTCATGAAGCCAGACCCTGTTCTCATTCCTTCGTTATATTTTTTTTCTACGTACTATTACCCAATGGCAGACAGACTTGTGTACATAGACGATATATGCTCTGTATATCTCATTTCATGTAATTATAAGGGCGATGCTGAGTCTATTGACATTGCTCTTCTCCGTCGCTTGTGATTATTTTTTTACAGTAATAAAATGTTTTGTAGAGAAAACAGTCTATTATTTTTCACACGTATATTTGGTTACACGAATATTGAACATATATACAATAACCGCAAGGTATTTGCACAGCATATTAAAAATGATAAAAGTTTTAATGAATAGTTCGGCCGTTATTGTCCGTATATAATTTGACCCAGTAACCAGTTGCATTTGTAGACTATTCTACACATTGAAAATATATTGATAAGAATAATGTCTAGGTACTTATTTAACCGCACACAGTGCATTAAATATTGACCGATTTCACTATAATTCTTGATGCATATTTCATCAATTTGGAACTACAAATTATTTGTTTATTCAATATTAGAAAAATAAATACTTTTATAATTAATACTTTAGAAAACTCACGCTTTTTAAAATTCTGTTACAATATAAATAGGTCATGGCTATTTGTACAAATAGTCCTGCCCTCATAAATATAGGCATAATTTTTTCATTATCTAATCTTTGCAATGGTTGTATACAGAGCTGCATATCACAGCTGGAACAATACAGTACAATACAGTACGTATGTTTAAGAAAACGATCTTCAACTTTCATTTTGTTTGTGAATGAATTAATTGGAATACGAGGGTGGAACCAGCGACTCCATTTTGGGGATTTTCAGAGACGAGTTTTGATTTTTTTAGATATTGTGAACGAAATTCGTCAATGGTACTGTATCAGTAGACACGGTGAAACAGAACAAGTCCATTTTTTTCTATTTTACGTACGAAAAAAATTATTCATTAGAAATCTCGATTGCAATTCTATTGAAAAATACATTCGCCAATTTTATTTTGAAATTTTCCCGCTTTACTCTGTATTTTGAGAAAGGGAAATGGTTTGAGGACAATATTTGGTGGGAAAAATCAATAAATTTTTATTTTTCTATACAATTTATTCGATTGAGATGGTTTCTGCAGGAATTCCTCAAGATTTCTTCATATTTTAAGGATTTTTTGCTGTGGAATTTTTCGATGGAAAAAAATGAAATAAAAGTAGTAGGAAAATGTTGGAAAATTTATGCTGAGAGCTTTCAAGAGAATATGTTTCAATAGAATTGAAACAGTTGCAAAGAAAAATCGAAATCTATCAATTTCTATTTGTCAATTGTTCTCCATTGAAGATTTGTCTTTAGAAGAATGGAAAAAATAGATTTTACAATAGAATTTTAATAATATTGAAATATTAATATTCTATTGTGAATGGGCAAGATTTTTTATCAATTTTTTCGTACGTGTTCTTCAGTTACAAAAAAAAAATTCTTGAAATTCTCCCTCAGAATCACTTGCTTCTGAGATAAACAGAGAAAACAAAAATATGGAGACTCATTAGGATTCCCCACTTGACTACTGATACATTCTATTTGCCCTCGTACACTTGTGGATGCTGGTTTCACATTCGTCATAAATCGAGACGTGACATCTAGACTTTGATTGGAGTTGAGCTTTTGCATTTACTTCGGACTCCACACTAGCCCAGCAGTCGATGGAAAATTACGAATAAGGAAAGGGGGAATTTTACTCCATAGATTAAAAAAATCTACTAGGTCCTTCCCCTCGCCCTATCCACTGATTGTAGACATTCGAAGTGTGGGCCATTCGAAAATATCACAATGACGCAGATTCATGGTTTCAGATCTATTGCATTTTGGTTTTTTATCATTTGGGCATGAATATAAGGTTGACAGACTATGGATCTATGGAATGCATGTATGAATTATTTTAATCCAATGAGAATGTTGGGAACTCCTATTGTAACTTTACCTAGAGGACCTATTTCCCTAAATCTGTTAGTACCAATAGAAATTTTTCGTATCCTCTGTGTCGAAATTTAACATTACGCATGATTATAATGGACAAATACGATGCCCTCAGTAGAATAAAATGAAGAAATAATTGGAAACTCGTTGAATTCCTTTCATTCAGATAAGTAAAAATGAAAAAGACCATTATTTTACTACCTTTTGAGCACAAGAAATGCTAAGCATAGGCTCCTGTGTCGTCGTTCTCTAACCCTTTAGACACTTCATCATTGGTCCGTTCATCATCAGACGCCCTGGCAAATTGTATGAACAATTGCTCCAGCGTTGAAGACAGGACAGCAAAATCTTCGATACAATTGTAATAATTCTTCATCTCGTTCAGCAGTGAATACATAAGCGTCCAAGTGGCTTTGGAGTCTGTGACATGGTAGTTGAGAAAACCTGAATTTTCATCCGTTAATTTGCACGTCAAATTGCTCTCTATTTTTCTCTTAATATTCTCCACGTCTGCGTAATTGCGATTGGGGAAGAGTTTCACGTGAATATTGTAACCAGCCCCGAAGCGTTGTTTCAATTCTTGAGTAGCACCAACGCAAACTAGCTGACCTTTCACCATAATAACGAGTCGGTTGCACAGTACTTCGCACTCCTCCATACTGTGTGAAGTGAGGATAAATGATTGTCCCGAGTCCTGGCAGGTTTTCAGAGTATTCCACAGTGATCTTCTAGCTGCCGGATCCACACCAGTCGTCGGTTCATCCATCAGAACTAAAGATGGATTACCAATGAGTGCCATTGCAATATTCAATCGCCTCTTATTCCCTCCGCTGTACGTGCTACTGGGTTGCTCAGCGCACGCAGTAAGATTGAGCTTCCGAATCCATTTCTCAACGACGTCATACACTTCACCCTCTGGAACGCCTCGAAGCTTTGCGAATAAGTACAAATGATCCCGCGAATTCAGAGTCCCCATAATGGCATCGTGCTGGGGACAGTAACCCATTTTCTGCAGATATTTCACTCGATTGTTTTCAATATTGAAATTCTTCAACCACATCTGACCACCATTAGGGAGTTCCTCGCCAATCAGCATTCTGAACGTCGTACTCTTTCCTGCGCCGTTCACCCCAAGCAATCCAAAACATTCACTCTCTTTCACCCTGAAACTGATCCCTCTCACCACTTCAAGTCTTCCATATCTCTTTCTCAAATCGTGGGCCAGGAATATGTTCTCACTCTCATCATCAGAAATTTCCATCATTCTTTTTCTCACATCATCAGCAACAATTTTCTTCTCCTTCACTACCAATTCATCCATTTCTGCAGTATTGGTCTCCTGGGAGTCCTTTTTCCTAAACATCATGATAATCCTCTGGAAAATCCGCTGTTCAATTACAACAATGATTGCACAGAATAGAAAGAACGATGCCGCAAGGTACATCATACTGGTAGACAGACTCGGTAGAAAATCGACTGGATTATCTGCGAAGTAAGGAAAAGGATTTCTGCATTCACCATTGATACACTGTTTTCCACAGCACGGATCTTTAATGACGCACAAAACATTAATGGCTTCGTCAGTCATCTTCCGACACCTGGCGTTTTTCGATACCACTGTGAAGAACGCTGAGTATCCATGCAGAAAACTCAAAGGAGGGTACAGTCGGAGGATTGGGGTCAGAGCATCCTTCAAATTCTTGGTAGAATCAGTTTTCTCATTCAGCGCGATCAAGTTAAGTATCAATTCCGTCAATGCAAATACAACTGGGGCAATTAGCTGTACTATTATTGTAGCAGCTAACGATCTTTTCAGGAAGCTGATGCAATAAACGAACGGTAGCATGCTGAATCCCAGGAGAAACATGAGCGCCATAGACATAAGAATTTCGGTTGTACCAAAGAATTTTGTATCCAACGATTTGTCGGCTAGTACTAATAAAATAAGAAGCAGTAGACAGGAGATTATGTACTGGAAGAAATCAAAGAGAAACATAGAGGCCCAATATGCAAATTTCGAAGCTCCAGTCATATTTTGCAGCTGTTTGACTCCAGAACGAGCTTCTTCGAGAGGTTGAGTCATATATAAACCAATCGCTGGTATCATGAGAATAATAATGACCACTGCAAAGATCCAACCTTGGGTTATCTCGTTTTGTGGCATGGCCCAGGGCAATTGAATCTGCTGCACCGAAGCTTCAATCGTGTCAGCTTCGTTCTTGGTCGAAGCCTTCAAAATAGCATTCGACAGGGCATTCAATGTTATTGGAATTCCTAGATACGCAGTTCCTGAGTAGAATCCATTAGCTGTCATATTCGGACCAGTTTGATTAAACTCAGCCGAGACTATGTATGCATTTCTATACATGCCGATGTCATCATGAGCTGCTTTTAACAAACGACTCGTGACGCTCATGGTCGAATCTTGTCGGATTATCTCTGTTCTCCCCCCGAATTGATTAATGCTACTCACGTACATAAAAGCCAACGTAGGATCTGAAGATTTAACAACAGCTTCCGGGGTGCTGTAAGATTTCAACGTTAATGCGATTGATCTCTTTTGGCTGATTCCTCCAAATGGTGCCTGCATTACTGTACATGCCAAGCAGGGGAATAGTAAACTCAACCAGAATGGCCAGAGATTCTTCCGTACTGATGTGAATTTCTTCCGCAAAAACGCAGAAAAGCACTGACGGAAATATGCTAGACCTATGACTTTCGAGTGTTCAATCTGGTCTCTCGATTCAACTGCGTCAGCTTCATCCCTACTTACCCTCAGGAATACTTGCTCCATTGTTATTATTGAAACACTCATTCCAGTGATACCTAAATCCGTTCGCGAAGACTCCAGATGATCCAGAGCCTCTGGCAATGATTCCACCTGGGGAATTGCTAGAACTACTTTACCCTCATCTTGGTTTAATAATTCTGCAGGTATTTTGATTTCTTGAATAATTCTTGAAGGATCACACCAAGGCTCAACAGACAATGTCACTTCCACTTGACCATCTCCATATAGCTTCTTCAGGAACATTGAAGTTCCGTAACTCTTCAATCTACCTGCATGCATTATCGCTATCCTGTCTCCAAGGATGTCAGCCTCTTCCATGTCGTGGGTGCTTATGATTATCGTCTTCTGACCCCTCATTTTGAGGACAATATCCCAAACTTCGCGTTTACTCTGTGCATCCATTCCAGAGGTCGGCTCATCTAGTATTACAACATTTCCATCGCCGATGACAGCCATCGCAAGGCACAATCTTCTCTTTTGACCTCCTGATAACTGTTTCGGAATGACATTCCGTTTCTCTGTTAGATTTACTTTATTCAATAAAATGTCAATTTCAGATTCTAATGCGTGTTTCGATTTATTACGGACTTTCAGAGTTCCGAAGAAGAAGAGGTGTTGATAAACTGTCAATTCTGGAAAGACCATGTTCTCCTGCGGACAGAGGCCAATCTTGTTCTTTATGCTGAATGGGTCTTGCTGAATGTTCTTACCGTCTATGAGGATTATACCCTCGGTTAAACTTGTTAAACCAGACAGAATAGACATCATCGTTGTTTTACCAGCGCCGTTGTGACCGAGTAGAGCTGTTATTTGACTTTTATAAAAATCTATTGAGACTCCTTTCAGTGCATCGACTTTGGATGATTTAAAAAAACCCTTTGTGTATGTTTTTTTTAATCCTCTGATTCGTATTCCTGGCTCACAAGTCCCTTCGGAGATTTCTTCAAATTCTTCACCCTTGCTATTTGTTCCTTCAAAGTCAATTGTGTTTCCATCCTGCCGAATATTTTTCTTACTTCGGAAATAAGAGAATGGGTTTTGGCTCACTCCATATTTGCCTGGATGCACTACGTGAATGAAGACAGCTAGGTAAAAATTGATGAGGATACCAATGATGGAGAAGATCAACATCACTCCCACACTTCCTTCTGCTGGGGCGTCTGTTGATCCGACCGAGAACACATTTGACCAGTTGATGCCGATGAGTTTCGTCTCGTAAATGACTATTTCCTCGAACATTCTTTGAAAGAGGATGCCTGGACATATTAAACCAAGATACAGAAGGAATCGTCGAATGGCAATAGAGGTAGCGAAATAGGTAATAGCACTGTTCAGTACGATGTAAATCATGAAGGTTGCCAGGATGCCTCTTGATGCTAGAACAGGTAATAAAGGGGCACATTAATTCAATTTTGTCTTTATTTTCAACAGGATAAGATTTTTTAACATTGAGCCGAAGAAATTCAACGGAAAATATCTGAAGATAATAAGTTATATAGAAAAATCGAATTCTATTGACTTTTTCAATTAAATATTTTTTATTGAACATTTCAATGAAGGTTGGCCATGAGTATTATATTTCTTCAATATTCAAAGGATTTGCGACTTACATTGATAATAGTGTAAATTTCCGATTGATGGTGACTTAAATATTTAATAATATAAAACTGTAAATTTTACATTAAGTGAATATTTCCAATTTCTTAGAAGTGATTATCAATTATAATCATTAGAGCTGCGCACGAGACCCAGGCGAGACTCTACTTTGAAGAGATTGTCTCGCTTTAAAAAGCATGGAAATTTTTGGAACTCTCTCAGTCGCAAAAGGCCTAGTATCTTATCGTCTGGTCATGAATTTGAGATAATTTGTCTCGTCACAGTCTCCACTTTTTTCGGTTTTGTATGTTTGGTTTCAGTTTCAGTATCGGTCTCGATCTCGTACACGTAAAAAATAAGAAAAAAAGAACGAGAGAAGATAAATTCTCTTGGAGTCGAGAAAAGGGGAGGTAATGCTATGAGTTTGGAGACTGAGACAGTCTCGAAAATTTCCATATTGTTTTTGGAGCAAAACGAGACCTCCAAAGTGAAATCTCGTTGGGTCTCGTGTGTACCTCTAATAATCATCAAATAATCGGCAATCTTCCTACTTAAATTATTGATTAATAAAATAGTTCAAAATTTGAATATTTAAATTGACGGTTACTTGAATAATTGAAGGTTTAAGAGTGATGTTAACTAATTGACGGCTTCAAAATTTAACGGTAATTATGATTTATGAATATGACTATCCCTGATGTTAACCCTAGACTGGTCACCATACGAGGGAATTGCCGCAACACGTCGTTTTATTCACCTTGCCATCGACTGGTTGACCGGAAAAATTTGAGAAAAATTGAATTCGTCAATTGAAGTATTTGGGAAATTCTAGTATTTGATCTAGTATTTGACGGGAAAATGCGACTTTAATCACCTTCCCGGGAGAGTGCCGCCGTGTTATTTGGGCTCCAGCGTTGCCGAATCCACTCTACACTTCCCGGGCGCGTTTAGCGAGTTCCCAGCAACGTCGCGCAACAGGCAATTTTATTTGACACGGGAAAAAATTGTTCACCTATTGGAGATAATTTTTTTTTCTCTCAGAATTAAGGATACAATATTGAAAAAAAAATACTAGAATTTTCCAGATACTTCAATTGACGAATTCAATTTTTCTCAAATTTTTCCGGTCAACCAGTCGATGGAAAAGTGAATAAAACGACGTGTTGCGGCAATTCCCTCGCATGGTGACCAGTCTAGGGTTGATATGATTGAATCGGCTGGATGCAAAATTTTCATCTACAACCTTTGTTCATAGAAAAAAAAATTACAAATGCATTGAAAAAAATAAAATAAAATAGTTCACTGCGGAGACAATTCCATTGACTTTCCAAATATCTCTTCCAAATGTCAATAAGTCTCTTAGAATGCGAAAAAATGATTTTTTACTGTTCATGGAAAGGGTCGATACCATGCATTGACCCCGACCGATAGGACAAGTTTATGAGTCGATGCATGGTATCGACGCCGCCCGTGAGGGGTTAAAGTAGCTCTACCCTTACGGTAAATTAAAAAATTATTGAAAACTGCAAAAAAATTGCAGAAAACTCGATTAGATTCGGAATTCTAATTTTTTCCCAATTTAATTATCGTTTTGGTTTTTCAAAGAAGAAATGTTTAAGAATCAGGATTTAACCCAGTGTCTTATGTGCAAATCAACATTTCCATTGAAATCAAAGATTAAAATCTGAATTTTTTTTCATGAGATGTGAAAAAATCAAGAATTTCTTTGACACCTCATAAAAAATAATCCACCGTTTTGCAAACAAGTTTTATTATTTATTTATAAGAGGAAAATGTTTGAAAACATCAATATTTTGCGAAATTTAATTTAGATAATACTGACTGGGTATGAATTTTTTCAAATTTTTTCCATGCAATTTAGTTGAAAAATTTAAAAACTGAAAATATCCAAAAGTACAGCGTAGCCCGGCCGAAGGGTAGAGCTACTTCAAATGTGTTCGTGCGTGTTTCTAATTTTCACAAATCCCTATTCACTCTTCATAAACTTCACCACACTTCCATCAACTTACGTTTCCAAAAATATGACGACAGATGGTACCCGAAGGAGAGTACATGGCAGAAGTTGAAGAAAAACACCAGCCACACAATGACCGGATCGCCGTGCGTCAAAAATGGAATAACACGATTCGGTCCGAAGTGTCCCATGATCACCACAAACGGAACGAGGTAAAAAATACTGAAAACTGCTCCAGTGACAAACCAGCTGAAGAGATTCATCTTCGTGGTGACTCCATTGACAGACATGAGAACATTAATCCCAATATATTTTTCACTCGAAGGGTAACCGATTTCAATGCACAGAATGATCAGGAAAATGAATTTTATAATTTCCGAAAAAAACTGTCCTCCGATTGGCAGTCCTTTATCAGCCTTTGTGTACGGAGGATAAGGCATCTGTTGGATTGAGATCTTCGGCGTGTACCTTCTAGGTCCTGAGGAACTCTCTGACACCCAGTTGATGTACGCTTCATCAAGACATAATTGTATGGCCAAAGTGCTAGAATATTGAAATTCATTCGCCATGTTTCCATTTTCTCGCGGGTCGTACAAATCTCCCTGCAGCGGATTACCTGTCCTAATTTTGTATTTGAAATGACGTGGCATGGAATCTCCAACAACAGTTTCAAAAACGATTCCCACAGATTTACTAGAAATATAGGCATCCTCAGCATAGTCCTTGGTTAACTGCTGCACCATTGTTTCCTCATCGACAGCACCACTAACATTGAGTCGATAACTTCCTAGACACACTCGCGTGTACTCCACCAACTGGATCGTTGCACGTGTTTCTGGTGTGAAACGAAGCTGCTCTAACCAATAGAATCCCCACAAAATTTCTTGCTTGGGTTGAACTGGATAGTAAGTTGTGGTATTTTCGAATTCCGGTGGGCCTTCAGCGAATAATCCAACACTCTGTCCGATGAAGAATAGACCCATTGGAATGATCAGTTGCACTGCGATGCTCCGAAACCAACATCTCTTGCGAACTTGAAAGTTTTTCTTGAGGAGAATGAGAAATATCCTTAGTGTTGCATTCATGATTCGATTGCTTTCCGGTGTAGATTCCAATTCAATAACTCTGAATCCAGGTATGGACAGGTGGTTAACCGTTGACAACTCGTCTGCGACAGCTTAGTGTCTTATCTGAAACGGGAAAAAGTTGATAGTGATACTCCGAGACCTTCGAAGTTATCAAAGCGCTTGATTATTTCGTTGTTTAGCAACGGGAGTGTCAATTTTTACGGGTTTCTGGGAAAAAGTTGATACTATCGTTTGGCTTGCAGTGGAAATCCTGCGATCAATGGTGAACATTCACAGAGAATAAAAAGTTTTAGTTTTTAAGAATCTGCGGCTCTCTTAAATTTAACGAGTGGGGAGTCATAAAACCAAGTGACTTTGTCAGTGTTCAGGGGTTAGAGATCTAACGTGTCGGGCCAATTAGAAAATAAATTCAGTAGCGAAGCGGTAAAATGGTTCAAGTTGATTTAGCTCTTAGCTGACTTTTCGAGGAATATCTCCGAATCGAGAGGAAATAACGAGATTTTCTTCAAGACCTTTTTTGTAGAGCAAATTGAGGGCTACAGAAAAGATCATGACAAAAGTTTTGCCATTCCCCTTAGATTTCGAGATATTCATTGAAAAATGGCCAATCGTCAAAATGAACTTCAAGTAGATCTACCCTTCGGCCAGGCTACGCTGTACTTTTGGATATATTCAGTTTTTAAATTTTTCAACTAAATTGCATGGAAAAAAATTGAAAAAATTCATACCCAGTCAGTATTATCTAAATTAAATTTCGCAAAAGATTGATATTTTTTCAGACATTTCCCTCTTATAAATAAATACTAAAACTTGTTTGCAAAACGGTGGGTTATTTTTTATGAGGGGTCAAAAAAATTCTTGATTTTTTCACATCTAATGAAAAACAATTTAGATTTTAATCTCTGATTACAATGGAAATGTTGATTTTCACATAAGACACTGGGTTAAATCCTGATTTTTAAACATTTCTTCTTTGAAAAACCAAAACGATAATTAAATTGAGAAAAAAATTAGAATTCCGAATCTAATCGAGTTTTCTACTTTAAACCGTTTTACCGCTTCGCTACTGAATTCATAGATTAATTCCTATGGGAGGGTCGGGCAAAATGGGACGTGTTGAGATCTTTTCCAATTGTCAATATCTTCACTTATAAATGGAGATATTGACTAATAGAGAAGCTCACGAAACGTCTCATTTTGCCCGACTCTCCCCTGAAAATTACGAATATATCTCGAAAAACTAACATTTTTTTTCTGTGTTGCATGATTTTCGTCGTTATATTTTAACCCCTCAAGTACGGCGTCCATGTCGCGCGTTACACTGAGAGAAAAAAATACATTTGATAAAGATTTTTTTGAACAAATTGTATTGGGAAAAATTTCACAGAAATTCCCAGAAATACCAAGAAATTTTACCTTAACAGCACTAGAATTTTTCCCAGCCGGTGGATTATAATTTTTTTCAGTACTCGTACTAGAATTTTTCTAGAAAATTTCTCTCCGTGTATTGTTAACGAATGGATTTGGTTAGATATGAAGGTCTATTTGGTCTCACCAAATGTCCTTTCGTTAATAGTTAACGAATGCACATTTGAGGAGGCTTGTTCGACACGGTTTTCATCTTTCAAGTGAACTATTCGTTAACTATTAACGAATATTCGTTTGGTCATATTTAACTCTATCATTCGTTAATATTTAACGAATCTCGTTTGGAATTAATTAATCAGTCTATCAGTGTCCTGGCCGCATGCAGCCAATACCGCTCACTCAACTCTCATCGGAATCGACTCAGAAAATTGAAGTGACGGTATCGTAATTTTTCACAGGAGATTCGGATAACAATTACGGAACGCTCTGGAAAAATTCCGTGACAGTTCCCTAAAATTTCCTACAACCGTATTAGAGTATGTTCGATAAAAATTTCAGAATTTTGGATAAAAATTATCTCGATAAACGAAAGGTTTGAATAAACAACCGGCATCGAATTCAGTTCCGTATTTATTGTGTATTGAAGAAAAATATTAAAAATAACTCGGAACAAAATCGAGTCGCATTGTGTTGATAATTTTATCTATTTCATGGGGAAATTTTTAGGCATCCGATATTTACAATAGTACGAAAGATAATGAATTTTCATTAATCACGGGAAGGGTCGATATGACATGGACGCCGGCCGATAGGACAAGCTCTCGGGTCCATATGTGGCATGAACGCTGTACTTGACGGGTTAAGGGGAAACGGAACCCCTATGTTTATATGAACTTTTAGAATTGTATTTCCTCCTGCAATTATTATTTTTTATTTATGAAACTACTTCATAGACTCAAAAATGCAATGATCCAGTCGACAAAGTAATTTCATAGATATAAAGTAATAATTGTAGGAGAAAACACAATTCTAAAAATTCTAAAAATTGAGCGGAGAGATTTTTACACAGGATGGGACCTTCAGCCGGTCATACCGATGACGCCGATTTCCGATTCCGATCTCTCTTCGAAGATCTCCTCAGTTCATATGATCTCACGGTCTTGAACGAAACACATCAGGACTCAACTTTAAAAAAGCTGAGACGGTCGTCATTCGTCGACGTCACTCTCACATCCTCTCCAATGAGCAGATTCGTCGGAACCTGGGAGTTGTGCGGAGATTGGTCAAAACCGCTGAGGACGATCCGTCCAATTTATTGTGCGCCAAAGGTCCGCTTCGTAAACGGGGACGGATTTGGCGAAACGGACGACTGAGCAAACGGATCGTTAGCCTAACGGACCATTAACGTAAAAGGAATTGGGACGAACTAGCCCCTAAAGTTTGAAAAATCTCTGCATATATGAAAGTATTGGAAATCATTGTCGAGAGACCTTACACTCATTAATTACAAATTTATGGACGAAAATGTATTGGAAAAATTCACGGTATCTTTACTATCCGAAACTGATTAAAAAAGTTAGCAAATATCTCCTTCTTGTCCATAAGAATAACATTGAACCTCGAACATGGCTGATCGAAAAGAAATGAAAAAATGACCAATAAAATATGATATATAAATTGAAATTTGAATTGACGTTCTATACCCTTAAAATTCTTGTGTGAAGGCAAAGAATTCATGTGGCATTATGAGTGTTTCCCAGAAGAATGCGTCACTGATAAGTAATGTTATGACACATTCATTGGATGTTTGAAATACGTAACATAAGATGCTCCTGACATTTTCAAACGCTCATGTAAAAATTCATGAACTGATTTTTTACCCTAGGTAAGTATACAGTTGAGAATTCATAAAATAAATAGTTGCATATACGGAGAGAAATATTCACTAAAAATTACGGAACAGTTCACGTAATCCGCAATGGGGAATCGTTTCCCGGAAATTTTTATAGGAATGGAAGAGAAGAAATTTGAAATGTTCAATGAATTCTCAGGTTCATTACCGAACAGAGTACAAAATTGTCACGTAATTTTTCCCGAAGAAGTAGAATCTTACAGAAACTTTACGGCTTATTATGCCTACAAAATAAAAAATTCTTGAACGTTCAACAATTTTTATGAAGATGGTGAGTTATTTCTACGTTCCGTTCTGTAAAATTCATCAATTGTTGGGAAGAAATTACGGAACGATTTGTTTTCCCCATACCGGAAAGTCATCAAACGAGTGGTTCATTTTTACAGAACAAATTGTAGAATTTAGGTGGCGATTCGTCAATTTCAGTTTCGACTCACACTTTTTGTTGAATTCAACTTCGCTCGCGGATTATGTTTCGAAACGTCATTTTTACGTTTTTTTCTGGTAATTTTTATCGAATTTTTCTCTCCGTGTACCTATTGTTGATACCGTAATCACTATAACACAAATACTGTATAAGAAATATAGATTAAAATTGTAAATATTGAATATAACCTTTTTTAGATCTCTCACGTAACTATCACGTCTCCTTCAAATATAAGAAATTTGCCTCCAGAATACATCAATGAGTGAATAAAAAATATTCTACTGGCGCCGATCGAGAGCCATACTCTATCTGAATCTAGTGCGCCCGTGACAGATTCTCTCACCGCGCCTCTGAAGAACGGGAAACCATCGTGTCCCTTTGTAAGCCGTTCCTATCTTCTTCCTCCCCTCTCCCTAATATTTTTATCAACAGTTCGTCGAATTTTCTGTCACTTGCGACCCATTTGGAGAGGTAATCCAGCTATTATCAATTATGTATGTGATCATCGAAATTCTCAACTCTTCAGCAGCGCTAATGCGACGCTTGCTATTGCACGGAGAATATTTACCCATAAAATTAGGATGCTAACCAGAAATCGGTACAATCATCAATTTTAAAACAAGTTAAACTTACTTTGTTTACAGTCCTATTCTAAAAAGAACATACGCCGTAAGCTGTAGCGTAACGCTCATTCCTCGAATTTCATTGGTCGAACATTCGGATCCGCCCGCACGTATTCGACTTCGGTCGGCTTTCGGTTTTCGTGTCACGATTTGTCTTTAACACGCCCGCTCAAGCGCGCGATCATTCTCGTGAAAATAAATCACAAATAAAAAAAAGATTTACATTTAGAGTGAATTTGACTTTATTTAAAAGTTCAATCCATTGTGCTAAATTCACTGTGCAAATTATCACTGAATAAAAAATGATAATTTTTAAACCCCAGAATCATATTCAGGTTCTACAATCAGTTTTATTTGAATGGAAAAGAACTCTGACAATTTATTGATAATTTTTGATTGAAGAAAAACCCAACTATTTCGAAGGGAAAAGAATCAATTTTAAATTCCTCAATTTGATTTTCCGATTAATCAAATAATCTTCAATCTTTCGAAGTCCATTACTGATTTATAGAATATTTAAAAAATTTGATTGATGATTAATTTAATAAAAATTGAGCAATACAGTTAACTGATAGTATGTAATGAAATCATTTCAATTCTACATTACGATTTTGCTAAACTCTGGTTATGGTGCTGGCACATGAATTTTTCGATGATATTTTTCCGTGTATTCCTCAAGCGAATGTGAAGCCTCGAATCTCGAAGGGCTTGCGGCTCCTAGTTTCTTCTCTCTCCACCTTCTTCAAAACCTTGAACCGTTTTGATTCGAGATTACATCTAATTTTTCCAAGTCCAAAGTCCAAAGTTTTCGAGACAAAATATCGTTTTATTCGTAATCTTTGGGCAGATATGAAAACGAAGATATTCAAATTTCAATCCGCATACATGGAAATTTTTTAGAAAAATTCTAGTGCTAGCACGGGAAAAGAGGCGCAAAGTGAGGGCCAGGAAAAAATTTCAGTGCCGGCACTAGAAATTTTATTGGGGAAAACGTGTATTTTTCCCCGTATTTCTGTGAAAATTTCACAGAAATCCCCAGAATTTTTACCAGAAATACCAAGAAATTTTACAGCACTAGAATTTTTCACAGCCGGTGGATTGTGATTTTTTCCTGTACTCGTACTAGAATTTTTCTAGAAAATTTCAGTCCGCATATCTTTAAAAATTCTGAGTCACCTACTTTACCTTCATTTAAAGGAATATCCAACCTTTGGGATAAAATAGGATTGGTGCCCATTATAAAGTTGAAGCTTAAGCTCCAGAATACATATAAGTTTCGGCAATCGAAACCATCCTACATGGTTTTTATCATACACGTGATTGTATGTTTATTATCATCGATCGGAATCACCGATTAATACTTGGAAATCAAATCCAATATTGGCGATAAAACGTATACCGGCCTTTTAAGCCCAGATTACATGTGATTGGAACGTGCTTGTAACCGTCCATCCATTACGACCTATCAGAATCCCGAAGTACTTTATGATTTACATATGCGTATTTTCCGCTTGAAATAACTTTTTTCTTCTTCGTCATTAATTACGGATAACTAAACGTAAAATATGGAAAAATCATCGTAATTTACAGTGATTTTGAACGGTATTTACGAATACGAAATCATAAATTACTACATAATTAATTTATGCTTCAACTTCAAGCGTAAACTACGCTTCAGAAAGCGTAAAAGACAACTACTTAACCGTAACTTACATTTAGGTTTTTCTGTGTGCAGGCATCTTACAGGAATTTCTACAGACAAATTGTCCATAGAAATTATTTGCATATCATGGAACGGAACTATAAAATTAGCTATAGAATTTTACCCTATGAGAAGAGTAACCCCGTATGGATTAAGTACAAATTGACCAATGTCCTCACTTCATACAGGAATAATTCTCCAGATACTTTTTCAAGACAGATTTCAAAGGATGGGTTGCATGGATTCGACATCATTCTCAAGGATTTGTGTAGATTTTCCTTCATTACAGCGGACACTTCAATATCTCCTTGGACCCACCTTGTCGATGAGAGATAATACATGAAGTGGATTTCATCACCACTACCGAGAAAAACGTTTGTCTGGATATTGATAACTCCATGGTATCGCAACATGGGATTGGATATTAAGGAGAAGAGTCGAGGAAAAATTATTCAACAGCAAATTGTCGAATACTGAATGTCAAAATTGAGAACACTGACAATCTTTGACTTTGAGTTTTCACCAATATCATAGGCTGACTTGTTTTTTTTTTCATTTCGCAGTGAGTTAATGAAATAAATAAATGCATGAAATTCTTAAATGAGTATGTGAAAATCTTTAAAAAAATCTCTATTTTCAAAATTTAGAAAATTGTAGACACTTTACTGTTATCTGTACATATTTTACATTCTCATTTGTATGCATAATCTTTATATATTCACAGAAGTACAAGGTGCGAAGGAAAAATCCTCTGCGTATTCCGAGGATAAGACACATCGAACAGAGAAGGACTTTACTAACCTGTGGATATAAACAAAATTAAACAGCAACTTCTGTGTTGTTCTGCTTTTGCCGTTCCTCATGCACATATCCATTATTCTCTTGTCCACCATCAGGCGCCCTGGCAAATTGGATGAACAGTTGCTCGAGTGTTGAAGAGAGAACAGCAAAATCTTCGATACAATTGTAATCACTCTTCAACTCATACAGCAGTGAATACATGAGCGTCCAAGTGGCTTTGGAGTCTGTGACATGGAAGTTGAGAACACCTGTATTTTCATCCGTTAATTTGCACGTCAAATTGCTCTCTATTTTTCCCTTAATATTCTCCACGTCTGCGTAATTGCGATTGGGGAAGAGTTTCACGTGAATATTGTAACCAGCGCCGAAGCGTTGTTTCAATTCTTGACTAGCACCAATGCAAACTAGCTGACCTTTTACCATAATAACGAGTCGATTGCACAGTACCTCGCACTCCTCCATACTGTGTGAAGTGAGGATAAATGATTGTCCCGAGTCCTGGCAGATTTTCAGAGTATTCCACAGTGATCTTCTAGCTGCCGGATCCACCCCAGTCGTCGGTTCATCCATCAGAACTAAAGATGGATTACCAATAAGTGCAATTGCAATATTCAATCGTCTCTTATTCCCTCCGCTGTACGTGCTACTGGGTTGTTCAGCGCACGCAGTAAGATTGAGTTTCCGAATCCATTTCGCAACGACATCATGCACTTGACCCTTTGGAACACCTCGAAGCCTTGCGAATAAGTACAAATGATCCCACGAATTCAGAGTCCCTATAATGGCATCTTGCTGGGGACAGTAGCCCATTTCCTGCAGATATTCTAACCGATTACTTTCAATATTGAAATTTCTCAGCCACATCTGTCCCCCATTAGACTGTTCTTCCCCAGTCAGCATTCTGAATGTCGTACTCTTTCCTGCGCCATTCACCCCAAGCAATCCAAAACATTCACCCTCTTTCACTCTGAAACTGATCCCCTTCACCACCTCAAGCTTTCCATACCTCTTTCTCAAATCGTGAACTAAGAATACGTTCTCGTTCTCATCATCATCAATGTTATTGATTTTCTTTCTCACTTCATCAGCAACAGCTGCCTTTTCCTTCATCACTAATTCATCCATTTTAGTGGTATTAGTCCTTTGCGATTTGTTTCCTACAATCTTCCTCATAATTCTCTGAAGAATCCGCTGTTCAATGACGAGAATAATCGCAGAAAATAACAGGAAAGATCCTGCAAGGTATATCATACTGGTGGCGAGACTTGGCGAGCTGTTCGGTAGTTTCACATCGAAATAGGAGAATGGATTTTTGCAGTCACCATTAGTGCACTGTCTTCCACAGCATGGATCCCGAATGATGCACGAAACAGCGATGAATTCATCAGTCATCCTCCGACACCTAGCATTCTTCGACACCACAGTAAAGTACGTTGCATGTCCATACATGAAACTCAAAAAGGGAACCAGCTGGAAGATTTTACTCTGCACCATCCTGAAGTCCTTGAAGATGTTATTCTTCCAACTGACTTCAACCATCGTCAGAATCATTTCCATCAATCCCAAAATCGATGGAGCAAGACTCTGGAAAATCATTGTGGTATTCAATGACTTCTTCAGGAAGCTGATGCAATAGACAAACGGTAGCATGCTCAATCCAAACAGCAGCATCAGCTCCATAAAGACAAGAATCTCGGTTTCACCGTAGAATTTCATCTCCAGTGACTGATCGACGAGAATGAATGAGCCCAGAAGCAATAGACTCGATATTACGTACTGAATGTAATCAAGGAGAAACATGCAGGCCCAATACGCAAATTTCGAGGCTCCAGTCATACTCTGCAGCTGTTTGATCCCAGAACGGGCTTCATCGAGAGGCTGAGTGACATGTAAACCGATGGCTGGTGCTATGTACACAATAATAGCCACTGTGATCATCCAACCATCGGCTACCTCCCTCTGCTGGATCGCCCAGGATGATGGAATCTGCTGGATCGAGGCTTCGATCCTGCGAGACTTGTCCTTGGTCACAGCCTTCAGCATGGCATTCGACAGGGCATTCAATGTCAGTGGAACTCCCAGATACGCAGTTCCTGAGTAAAATCCATTGACTTTCATATCCGATTCTGTTCCATTAACCTCCGCAGAGACTATGTACTCGTTTCTGTACATCCCGATGTCCTCGTGAGCTGTCTTCAAAAGAGCATTCGTGACACTCATGGATGAGTTCGATTCAATGATGTTTGCTCTCCCTCCAAATTGACTGACACTATTTGCATACATTCGACTAAAATCAGCATCAGGTGATTTAACAAAAGCGGCCGGGGAGTCGTAAGACTCCAATGTCAATGAAATTGGTGTTCCTTCATTTGTTTTCCCTCCAAATGCTGTCAGCATAACTGTACACGCCAAGCAGGGTAACAGCAAACTCAGCCAGAATCGAATAGCATTTTTCCGTATAGTCGTGAACTTCTTCAGGGAAAAGGCAAAAAAGCACTGGCGAAAATACTCCAGTCCCGTTACCTTCTCCGGGTACTCAATGTGCTCCCTGGTCTCGACTGCGTCAGCGTCATCCCTAGTTACTCTCAGGAAAACTTGCTCCAACGTTATTATCGAAACACTCATTCCAGTGATACCCAAATCCTTTCGCGATGACTCCAGATGATCCAGAGCCTCTGGTAATGATTTCACCTGGGGAATTGCCAGAACCATTTTACCCTCGTCTTGGTTCAGTAATTCTGCTGGTACTTTGATTTCTCGAATAATTTTTGAGGGGTCACACCAGGGCTCAACAGACAAAGTCACTTCCACTTGACCATCTCCGTAGAATTTCTTCAGGAACATTGAAGTTCCGTAACTCTTCAATCTCCCTGTGTGCATTATAGCTACTCTATCCCCCAGGATATCAGCCTCTTCCATGTCGTGTGTGCTTATTATTATCGTTTTTTCACCCCTCATTTTAAGTACAATATCCCAAACTTCGCGTTTACTCTCTGCATCCATTCCCGAGGTCGGCTCATCCAGTATCAAAACATTTCCATCGCCGATGACAGCCATCGCAAGGCACAATCTTCTCTTTTGACCTCCTGATAACTGATTCGGTGTGAAATTTCGCTTGTCCGTTAGATTCACTTTATCCAATAAAACATCAATTGCGGAGTTCAATTGGTCCTTTGTTTTGTTACGAGCTTTCAAAGTTCCGAAGAAGAAAAGTTGTTGGTAGACCGTCAATTCGGAGAAGACCATGTTCTCCTGTGGGCAGAGGCCGATGTTGTTTTTTATGCTGAATGGGTCTCGCTGGATGTTCTTACCATCTATGAGTATTACTCCCTCCGTTAAACTCGTTAATCCTGATAGAATGGACATCATTGTTGTTTTACCAGCACCATTGTGACCAAGTAGAACTGTTATTTGACTTTTGTAAAAGTCCATTGAGACCCCCTTCAGTGCATCCACTTCAGAGGATTTAAACAAACCCTTTGTGTAGGTTTTCTTCAATCCTCTGATTCTTATTCCTGGCTCGAAAGTCCCCTCGGGAATTTCTTCAAACTCCTTTCCTCTGCTATTCGTTTTTTCAAAGTCTACTTTGTTCTCGTCATGTTGGATCTTGCTTTTATTTCGGAACCAGGAGAATGGGTTACGGCTTACACCATATTTTCCTGGACGTACTGCGTAAATGTAGAGAGTCATGTGAAAGTTGAAGAGAATACCGATGATGGAGAAGATCAACATCACTCCGACACTTCCTTCTGCTGGGGCATCTACAGTACCGAGTGAGAACATGTTCGACCAGCTGATGCCAACGAGCTTGCTCTCGTAAACTGTTATTTCGTCGAACATTCTTTGTAGGAGAGTGGACGGACATATTAAACCAATGTACAGGAAAACGTGTCGAGCGGCAGCAGAGGTAGCAAAATTGGCAATATTATTTAGTATGGCGAGGAACGTGAAGGTTGCAAAGATGCCATTTGATGCTGGAACAAATAAGAGAGGATTATATTAATGCAATGGATGCATTATCATGTTTTGAGGATTGCTTTTTATCGTTTTCTTTCGTCCTCAGTACGTAAACACAGAGGTCCAAATAATTCTCTTTGAAAATAAAACTACAGGCGAGGCTTTATATAAGATATCTCTCTATAAGATACCTCGAACGCCGCGCGCTCGAGGCCTACCCCCACTCCCCGCACTTTTATCGCCTCCCGAATGTTTAGTTCCGTGGGCTTCTTATAAGATACCTATGGTCTCGATCGTTTTTCAACGGGAAAAGAGTGATTATAATGATCAAACGGAGTTAAGGGTCAAACGGGAGGGACGAACAAAGTGATCATAAGGGTCAAATGACCTTAAGGGTCAAAAGTTCAAACGTGAGAGTCAAGTAATCAGAAGGGTTAAACGATCCCAGGAGTCATTTTTTTCTTCGACGCTATAATTATTAAAATAATGACGCAGAATTATCTTAATAGAATAAAGCCTAATCAAAAATCAATTAATTTACGTACTTTCAATATTTTGTACTTCAGCTGTCCACAAGTGATTATTCTCAAGTCCCCCAATAATCCCCCTACATCAGCTGCCATTCTATCACGCGAAGTTATGTTTAGAGACAAACGGGAATACGGGCTATACGAATTCAAAACTCGTATAAATTGATTAATTATCCATATTCCATTCAGTAAAAATTAATATTCCATAGAATTCTGGCGCAACGAGCGAGGTATCGTATTTCAAACCGCTGATCCCTATTTTTCTCCTCTCTACAAGCGCGCGTAGTGGGGGTATACGGATTCTCAGAATTCCGCTCTCCTGCTGTCCGTGACCTTCCCACATTGCCTTCTTTCCGAGTGGCTGTGCGGGGTTACCTCTGGGATAACCCCTGATGTCTTCCCACTCTTACCCTCCCATCGTTGCTCTCCCCCCCCCGGCCTTTCTCCTTTCTCTCTTTTTATTCGCATGCTCTTTCTTTCTCTCATCTCTCCTTCCCCTGTTTTAGTTCGAACCCGCTGGAACCTCGCTCTTCTTTTATTATTTTTCATCACGCTGTGCGAAAAAGTAACTTTTTAGGCACGCGAAGCGTGCATAAAACGTCCCTTTTCCACACATTGTGATAAAATAGTATATTTCGTAAGGAGTGCAAAAAAGTGTTTTTTGGCGAATGGGAGGTTTATATCACGAGCTAAAAAACATTTTTTCACGAGTTACGAACAATATTTTTCATCACAATGTGGCGGAAATTGGACTTTTAGGCACGCGGAGCGCGCCTAAAAACCTTCGCCTTCGGCTCGTGCTATAAACCTCCCACGAGCCAAAAAACACTTTTCCGCACTCGTAACGAAATATACTATTTCCATCTTTGCCTTTAACTGATTACTCTAAGAGATTGTTTCCATTTGCTATTTTTATACTTTTTCTGTATACGTGCTCGGTGGCTCTGCCACCATAGTTTTGTACAACATAATGTACAGTAATAAACTTCAATCAATAAATCAATCCTACTGTCCCTAAAGTATCTTACATAAAGCCTTGACTATATTCATTCCCTCTCATTTTTCTGAGAATTTTGGGTCGGCATTGGTTGAGGAGTGGGGTCCGGTGGAAAGTTGCTCATTTCTTGGAAATGATACCTCTACAGTCCTTTAGATGAGCAACTAGCGAGAGTCTACTGTATTTAGAGTAAGAATTCATTATAGACTAAATATGAGAGACAATAAGTTCATTGGCAAATATTGCGTTAGAAAGAGGTTGTTTTTAGGGTATGCTCGAGTGAAGTGTGAAATGAAAAGTATTTATGCTGTGTGACAGTTTTGTTACGATCGCGTTTGGTTTGTGAGGGTGGCCTCCGTGACGAACACTGAGGTCATTTTTTGGACCAAAGGGTGTCCCTAAATTAGTATTAGTTAACCCGTCAGCACTCGTACTATATGACTTTCTCTTGCAAAAATTTTCAGGGTTTAGGGAACATGATCAAAAAATTCAGATTTTGGACTGAAACTTTTTGATTGCCTCAAGCAACTATCCCTCTGGAATCAATAAAAACCGTCTAGCATGTTTCAATGAATTATAAAAAAATATCTTATCGAGTTCCGACGAGCGTGTGAGATTCTCTCGCGGCGCGAGTAAAGTCGATTGTGTGGCTCCCTCACATCGAGCGGTTCCGTGAGGCGGTCCACCGACCGAAACCAGTCCCATGGATAACTCGGACCTCTCTGTCTAACTAGTGTTCGCGCACTGCGCCAGATTCCCTCTTGGCGCCAGTAAAGTTTCTCGGTGAAATGACGCGAGAGCTGACGGGTTAAGAATGAGTACAAGTGAGAGAACATTTTTGAAAGAAAGAAAACGTGTTTGCCCGAATGGGGGAATGAAGAGAGAGTCAGTTGTGATCGGATGGATGTCCCGTGAAGATGTAGAGAAACTCATCTCCCATAACGATGTAGGGGAGGGTAGGGCAAAATGGACCGGGAGGGCAAAACGGACCACTGACAAAAAATTGGTAATTTTTGTTTTTTTTTCTTTTCTTCAAATCAGGAACACTGAATGTGTTGAATTAAAAGTGAGTTTCTTGGATCATAGCCGTCACAGGGGTTTTATAGACAAGTGTCGTTGAACCACAATTTGATCAGATTTGCTAATCACCTCAAACCACAAATAACTTCGAATTTGCTCCATTCGAAAGCGAAAACAATAATTATCAATTTTCTGTCAGTGGTCCGTTTTGCCCTGTGAGCCGTTTAGCCCTACCCACCCCTATTTTTTTAAATTCGATTTCAACTCAAATATACGTTCATTTATTTCATTAAATAAATATCCTGTGTCCTCATGATTATGATCCTACACTAATTTTCCTCCGCCATCTCGTAATGAATCTAGCATAATGCTCTTCATTCTCTCAATCTATCAAAAGCCAATCTCATCAAACGCATTGTGAGTCTCAATGCATCATCTTGAACTTACGTTTCCAGAAATACGACGACAAATGATAACCAAAGGAGAGCATATGGCAGAAGTTAATGAACAGCACCATCCAAACAATAAACGGGTTCCCAAAGGTCAAGAATGGAATGACATCTGGTGGCATGAAGTGTCTCATAATCAGCACAAACGGAGCCAGGTAGAAAGTGCTAAGCACCACTGCACTCATGAACCAACTGAGGAGATTCATCCTGGCGGTAACTCCATTGACAAACATGAGGATATTAATCCCAATATGTTTCTCATTAGCAGGGTATGCAATCTCGACGCAGAGAATGATCAGGAAGACGAATTTTATGATCTCGGAGAAAATTTTTCCTCCAATTGCCGTTCCCCTATCGACCTTTGTGTACGGAGGATAAGGCATTTGCTGGATTGAGATGTTCGGCTCGAACTGCCTTGGTTCTGAGGAAAATTTCGTTGACACCCAGTTGATGTAGGCTTCATCGAGACACAGTTGAACGGGCACCACAGGAGGAGGCCACATAAAATTATTTGCTATATTGCCATTCTCCTCGGGGTCGTATAAATCTTTCTGCAGGGCACCTTTCGTTCTAAATTTATACTTGAAATTAGTGGCTACTGAATCGTCGATGATCGTCTCGAAAACAATTCCCAAAGATTCAACAGGAAAATTTTCAACTTGGTCCATGGTCAGATTCTTCACCATCGTTTCCTCGTCTACAGCACCACTGAAGTTGAGATTTGGATTTCCTAGGCACTCTATCGTGTATTTAATCAAGTCAATTGTTGCATTTGTCTTCGGCGTAAAACGAAGCATTCCCAGCTCGGAAGATTGGGCTAGAATACTTTGTTTGGGTTGAATCTCATGATAAGTTGTGTAATTTATTTCTTTCGCTGAATTATCGCTTAATAATCTAACAGTCTGTGCGATAAGGAAGAAAACTATTGGAAGCAATATTTGGGCTACGATGGTGCGGATCCAGCATTTCGTACGGACTTGATAAGCCTTCGTGAGGAGAGTGAGGAATATTCTCAGTGTTTCGTTCATGGTGGTAGCCTTTATCTGGATGTTGATCTTCCGATGTCGATTGGAAATTCCGTTTTGGCCAGAAGGCCACAAGTGGAAGATCTATCTATGTCAGCTTAGTGCGTTATCTGAAACCGGAAGTAGTCAGTGGTAATACCCAGCGGCCTTCGAGTCATTGGATTCCTGATAGTCTCGTTGCTTAGGAACTAAAGTGTCCAGTAATGCAGGGTTTGAAATACAAATAAACATTCGATTTTTCAAATAGTGAAACTTGGAGGGAACATTGTGATTAATTTTAAAGGTCGGGGAGTATTGACGATCAATTTTCGCAGAGGGTAGAGCGGCGTTTGATTTTGGAAAGTCATTCAGTTGGGGAGGGACGAAGCTTGACATTTCAGAATAACATTGTCGAAATAATTTAAGTATTGGGTTGCTAGAGAATGAGGGCATATTTATAGATTCATATTTTATGTGATACTCTGAAAATGCAAAATGCTTTTTTGTGGAGCCGATTGAGTGCTACAACAAATGCGATTACGAAAATATCGCTATCTCCCTTAGAAAAACTCAACTGGGAGATAAGTCGACTTATCTCCGTTTACCACTTCACTACTAAATTATTCCCAAGACAGGGTGAACCGTCCAGCAGGTGTTCCATTGAAATTTTTCGTATGCTACTCATTTGACGTAGCGCTTGAGTAATATTTTTAACCCTTAAGTGGTCGCATAATGAGGGAATCCTCGCCGTTTTTTCTTTTTTTCTGTTCACAGAAAAATTTCGTGAATGAAAAATCCATAAACATTTGTACTTCTACTTTCAAATATATATTTAGAACACATCAATATCTTTTTTCGGTCCAGACTTACAATCATGAATTGTTAAAATCTTCTGAAAACTCGACTCGCGGAAATTTCCATGTTTAAACTCAAAATTTCATAATTTTGCATTTTTTCAAATCGGTTTTGTGGATTATTTGACAACTTTTTTGCTTCCATACCGCCAATTCCTATTTATTGAAAGTTCAAGATTATCTCTGAGCGTCGAATGAATTTTTTTTGTTCAACTTTTTTTTTCTCGAAATTGTAAAATACCCAGAGCGGGGATGCTCTTACCATGCGACCAATTACGTCCTTGTGTATTTTGCGATTTTGTGAGAAAAAAAATAGGAAAAAATCATTTATTTGTAGTTTACGGGTAATTTCGAACCTTTAATCGACAGGAAATGGAGATATTAAAGAAGAACAGTGACAGGCATATCAACCAATTATAATCACCGTTAAATTGTGAAGCTGTCAATGTTTAATATAAATCTTAAAATTTTAAATATTAAAGTAACCATCAATTTGTACAATTAAATTTCGAAATATTCTATCAACTTATAATTCAGGTAGGAAGATTGACGATTATTTGGATAATCGAAAATCAAGTACCTAAAGTTAGAATTAGCTTGGTAATCGAAAAATTACAATTTAGTATTATCAAATATTTTATTCACCATCGATCGAAAAATTTAGCTAATAAATTTTATATTATAAATTTGGTAAATATAGTTAAACTTTGAACAACATAACGAGATAATCCTTTTTAATATTGCCAAAATCTAATATTATTGCCTATCTCTGAAGGAGAATAGTCAATCGATAATCCTAGAATTCGATTTCATTAGGTAGGGGAGGGTAAAACGGACCCCTAGGGCAAAACGGACCACTGATAAAAAATTGATAATGTATGTTTTTGTTTCCGAATGGAAGCAGAAATAAACATTCCAGGTCATTTGTGGTTTGAAGTGATTAGCAAATTTGATCAAATTGCAGTTTAACGACACTTCTTGTCTATAAAACCCCTGCGACGGTTACGATCCAAGAAACTCACTTTTAATTCGACACATTGAGTGTTCCTGATTTGAAGGAATGAAAAAAAAACAAATGTTACCAATTTTCTGTCAGTGGTCCGTTTTGCCCTAGAGTTCCGTTTTGCCCTACCCTCCCCTACAAAATTTTGACATTTAGAGGTTAAGCACGGGAGTGTTCTGCGAGTCAAGTTTTCACAAGATTTTAATAATTGATTGGTGCGCGTATCGACCCAAAAAAATTGTCAATGCATTCGGTTTATTTGAAAATGCGGGATTTTCATGTGAGAAAAAAAAAACGAAAAAACGCTGGGATTCCCCCATTGTGCGACCACTCAAGGTTTACCCCTTAAGCGGTCGTATCGTGAGGGAATCTCCGCTAAACCATACACAACCTACAGGGCGCCACTGTAGAACGAGTGAGATGCTAGAAAAGCGCGACCACTTAAACGTTAAGGTGTTTCATGTTAAAAATCAAAATAATGAAAAAAAAAATTTGGAGAAATTCAGGGTATTGGATTATTGCGTTTAATTCTTTGTTTCAAATGACGGTTACAAAAACGAATCGACGTGGATGGCGCCAGAGAGTCACCCGAGAGTCTACATAAACATAAACAATATTTTTTGAGGAAGAAAGAACAGATGGGTCTTTCATTAGGTGACGAATTTGCTTTTGGTCTTTGTGACTAGCTTTTAGTCTCCTGGAGAGATCCGTGGAGTACAGACGTTTCTTCCTTGTGCCATCTTAAAGAATAAAAGATTTCAAGTTTAATCCACTGCATTGAGTACTCATTTATATATCCCACTACCAATACAGGGAAGAAGCATCTGAGTATGCTGCATCGCTGCAAATTTTTCCAAAATTTTCCCAGATTTTGTGATTTTTTAAGGAATTCCCTAAAAATTCAGAGTCATCTGGACTTCAAGGAGAGGTTTGTCTGAATTTTCTGATTTTTTAATAATTTTACCGAACCAAGTCAACTGAAATTTACAGCTCCCACGGATTTTTCCACGAAAGTATGAATTTTCAATGACGAAATTCCTTGAAATTTCAGTGGACACTTGCTAGAAATTTCCAAGACTCTTACTGGAAATTTCAGTGGAAAATTTTTAACTGTGTGGGTACTTATTTCAGGCACCCATGTAAAGAGCACGGAGACGGACGAAAGTGCACGGAGAAAAATGTTCAGTAAAAATTACGGAACTCACAATTTAACAATTTCACAATTTCACAACTAGTATATTATGTCATTAGGCGATAAAAGTATTATCTGGCGAATGTGGCTTTATAATCCGAGCTGAAGGCGAAGATTATAATCACATTCGCCAGATAATGCTTTTATCGCCGTGTGATATACGCTATTTTATGTCGTTGGGCCCGAAAACCGCGATCTAACCGAGCGAATCGAGGTTAGAATCGCGGTTTATCGGCCCTAATGACATAATAGTACATTAGAGTACAAGGGCACAAATTTAGTTTTCAACGAATGTGTAGTTTACAGGCCGAGCCGAAGGCGAGGTCGAGCTGAAGGCGAGCCGGGCGAGCAAGCTCAAAACTCGACTTCTGCACGACTTGACATAAAATATTATAGAGCACTCGGTAATAAATTTCGTTTTCAACGAATGTGTGTACAGACCTCGCTTTCGGCTCGGCCTGTAAACTACACATTCGTTGAAAACGAAATTTGTGCCCTTGTACTCTAATGTACTATTAAGGATATCCAAGTGGTTCAGGTGATTTTTTCTGGGGGAAATCCCCTTCAGAGTTTATAGACTAGACCAAGAGTATTTTTTAGGCGCAGTATAAACTTTAGTTTCCGAACATATTTTCGAAAAAACGATTTTTGAAAGAATGGAATTTAACACATTGCGTCCATAAGAGCTGTATACTGCCACCTTCAATCCAATAGTTCATAGTCTTAAAGCGTTTTCTCGTACACATAACCGTATATGACTTTGTTCGTTATACTCTCTAGTTTTTTTTGCGATATTAAAAAACATAAGTTTTCGGACAGATAATTGCAAACAATCAAATTAAAAGCTTCTTGATTGGTACGACAGCCATATTGGGTGGTTTGAATCCGTGCGTTCCTAACGTCCGGCAACAGTCCGCTCAAGTGACTACTCGGACCGAATTTACGAGGTTATATGGAACACATGTGCAGTGTTGCCGTATGATCATTAGAGGTTAGACCAACGAGAGTCAAGTGTGAAATTGAATAAAATATTGTTCACAATATTCATTGAAGAAATTCCGGAAAAAATGTATTCGACAATGAAAAATTCGAAAAAAGTATGGGGACGGCAAGATTTTCGACAAAACTGAAATCTTGCTTGAAAAAAAGTTGCCAATTTGAACGAAGTACTTGGATATCCTTAAGTGACGGTATTGTCCTTTTTCACAGGAGATTCAGATAAAAATTACGGAACCCTCTGGAAAAACTCCGTGACAGTTCCGTAAATTTTCCTACAACCACACTTCGCTCCGGAATTACGGGAAAGATACGCAATTTTTATTGAAGATTTCTCTCCGTGTGAAATTTTACTATAGTGCGTTTGGTCAAAAATTATTCTCCGTTACAGAATAAATCATACACATATGTGAATGATTCCACAATATTGAGCAATTATTCACGTTCACTGAGAAAATTTCCGATGGAATGCAGGATAAATTGCAGTCTTGACACAAATTACTCTCGCGTTTAGTAAATTTTCCCGATTCAGTGGAGAAAAATTCACTATTCGTCGCGCATTTTTTCCTCCGGTATAGAACGATTACTCAACTTGTTTAGTAATTTTTCTCCAACTTTTCTCTCCGCATATGCGACGTTCGTCAATGGCTGGACAATTCACCCTGAACATGAAATCCCAATAATGTCAAATTTCAGTCACTACACTACCACTTCGCTACTAAATCGCAAATCTATCAAAAAATTTTTATCAATGATATCAGCCAATAAACATCAGCTCCCATCGTTGCACTTGCGAATCTGCCGCGTCGAATCGACTTTCATTATCAGAGCGGACTTAAAAAAAATACCGATAACGTCCGGTACATTGTACACTGAATCGACGTTCAACACCTTTAAACATCAAATACTATTGCGGAAAAAAATGAAGGTGGCATTATCGGTGTGTCACGAAAAACTGAATCACTCTTGTGCAATAGTATCACAGAAATTATATCACTATTCGAAATAACCGGGAAGCCAAGTGCAGATTACAAATGCAATTATGGAAACTCATAAATTGATTTTTGACACTGAGTTCGTTAACAAGTGTAGCTGCTGAGTAAATGGGAGTTGATAATTCAAATCCATTCATACCAAATGGTTGCCACTGCAAGCGCTGATAGAAACACTGCTATTGATTAGACCATCGCACCTCTTTATATGCCATCCCTTCCTGTTCCCATCATCTATCAGTGTTATCAACTATTCGCGTATTCTTTACCCCACGGATAATACGCAGTCACAGGGGTATCTACTTAGAAACTGGTCATCGACATTCTAAAAAATTTTGAAATAGAATCTGATCATCGTAATCTTTTTGAGCAGCTTTGGGAAGCTAAGCAGCGCTGAGCGTGTTCACTAGATGGATGTAGGGCCGCGCGGGAACAAATCGGGAAAGAAACATTGTTTGGAAAAACTGGAAAGAGCTTTGGGAAAAACGAATATGCGGCAAAAACGGCATGAAGGAATGAGAAATCGTGAAAACCGAAAGTTATACGGTGAAATGAAATCATTCGTGTATAATTACCGTGGCAAATGGTAGCCTGTCAGTCACCACCGTGGGGCGGGGAGGGAGGAAAGACGAAATAATAAATCCTTTGACACACCACAACTAGACAATTGTATGAAAAGAAGTTCTTCGAAAAGTTTTATAATATTTTTAATAATTTTTTGATCACTTTCACTTCAACTTCTCCCTCATTTTTCATGATTACGGACCAAAAATTCGTGAATATAATCGAAAACAAATTTTCTCAAGTTGAATCTTGCATCAGAAAAAATTCAAATCTCGAATTCCGAGCGGTCGGAGATAATTTTCACCTACAAAATCTGATTCAGAAACCACCCGAGTCGAGGATTTGGTTCTGATTGGACGTACACAGGTCTTTCAAGATTTCTCCAGACCTAGATGGACCTGGTAAGTCCTAATCAGTTCTGCGACGTACTTTTCCAAAGACCTTTCGAATCCTCAGTTCTTTTCGGTCCTGAGAAGTCCTCGATGCTACCGAGAACGCGTGATTTTACGAGCGGGAGAAGGGGAAGGCGGAGGGTTGAAATTTATAGCCAACGAGGAGACAGGGTTGCAGAATATATTTCAGCCACCCTCATCTCCCCGTTTGCAGGCGGTGTTTAAATAAAAAATAGTGAACGTTGATTCTGTTGATTCTGTATTTATTGACCCCCTGATGCCAATGAAACCCTCGGAGGTGACAGAAAAGGGGAAAAAAAATTTTTCCTTTCCACGTGGGTCAAGGGTGAAAGTCGACTTTCGCCAAAAGCGAATTTTTTAGTCGGGCGAGTGTTGATTCCAACTATTTGAGCAATGGGCTATTCAGAACTCTCAAAAGTATGCGGAAAAAGTGAAAACTGAAAAAGTTTTTTTTTCTCAAATTTTCAAAGGATCAGATTTTCCGTTTTTCCCGGCGGAAAGTCGACTTTCGCCAAAATCGATTTTTCTAGCCGGGTGAACGTTGATTCCAACTATTTAAGCGCCGGGCTTGTCAGAACTGTCAAAAGTATGTGGAAAACGTGAAAACTGAGAAACCGTTTTTTTTGGCCCCAACCAAAGGGCCAGATTTTCGGGTTTTCCAGGGCAAGTGGATTTTCGCGAAAATCGATTTTTTTAGCCGGGTGAACGTTGATTCCCTCTATTTAAGCGACGGGCTATTCAGAACTCTCAAAAGTATGTGGAAAACGTGAAAACTGAGAAACCGTTTTTTTTGGCCCCAACCAAAGGGCCAGATTTTCGGGTTTTCCAGGGCAAGTGGATTTTCGCCAAAATCGAATTTTTTAGCCGGGTGAACGTTGATTCCAACTATTTAAGCGACGGGCTATTCACAACTATCAAAAGTATGTGGAAAAAGTGAAAAATAAAAAAATTTTCTTTTCACCGGAGGCCAAAAGTGTCGAATCTTGGATTTTTCCGGGAAGAAAGTCGGTCCAAGGGTCACAAGGTTCAAAGTGTCAGATCTTGGATTTTTTGCCAAAATCGAATTTTTTAG